AAGAACCAAGAGAGATTATGTAAAGGTGCAAATTCTCTGGTATGAGAAACTGAAAGTGTAAATAAGGACTAAAAGGTATAATAGATAATGTGAAATAGGAAGAAAAGGGGCAAAGAGGAAGGGGAAGGAGGAGTGGAAGGGGAAAGGAGAGAAGGGAATGGAATTAATATGAGAAAATGAAAAAATGGAAAGAGTCTTTGTAAATAGGGAGGGATGGGGGAGTTGAAGGGAGGGCAGGGGAAGGGGGAAAAATAAGAACCAAGAGAGATTATGTAAAGGTGCAAATTTCCAATGGTAAATGTCATTACATTGTATACCTAAAATATATCAATAAAATTAAATTGAAAAATAAAAAAAGTTAAAAAAAATGAAATAGAATATCTAGATATAGACAATATAATCTTTGGTCCAGGGATTTGGCTCAGTTGTTCTGCTGTCTGCTTTCCAGGCACAAGGGCCCAAGTTCAATCCCTAGTACCAAAAAAAAAAAGAAAAATAAAATCTTTGAAATTAAACTCGTTGAATTTATTGTAATAAGAGATCCAAAAGAACTAAACCAAAATACCATTTTTAATCTATTTTTTAGTGAAAAAAAACCACCAAATATTAACAATATACTCTGTTTACAAAACTCTGGGTAAATAGGCTCCTTACATATTATTGGTAGAAATGCAAAATGATACATATATTATAAGTCACTAAATTTCTATGCTTGGCTCAAACTTGCAATCTTCCTGCCTCAGCTTCCCACAGGGCTAGGATTACAAGTATGCACCACCACACCCACCTCTCCACATCGAGTTTTAGTCTTCTGATAAAATAAAAGCCAGGCCTAGACGGATTTTTAGGAAAAGTTTAATACACTTTCAAAGAAAAAAATATCAAATATCTTTAACATTTGAAAGTGAAAAAAAATAAGAGTGTTCTCTAAAATGATTAAGCAAGTAAATGTATTTCTGAATTAAGAGAAAGACTGGAAAATACTTTTTTCACTCATAGACATAATTTTTTGTAGTATTGGAGATGGAATCCAGGGGCTTCACAGTGAACTACATCTCCAGCTCTTTTTTTTGTTTTTTGAGACAGGATCTTGCTAAGTTTTGCACACTGGGCTTGACCTCACAATCCTCCTATCTCAGCCTTCCAGAGTATTAGAATTATAGGTGTGTGCCACCAGATCCACCTAAAAAAAAAAAAAATCACAAAATTTGGAGGTTCAATAGCATTTAAAAAAAAATTATTCTAGTAATCCAAACTTGGCTTATCACAAAACAAAATTTAAAACTACTGTGATAATTTACCTCATGAATTATAGAACTTCCCTATGAGCATCTCAACAGATATAAAGAAATCATTTGTTAAATTTTAATAATCTTTAAAAACTTCTAGCAAACTAGGAACAGCAAGGAAATTTCAACTACAGCATCAAAATTCCATGATAAAAATGCATCAAAATATTTCCTTTAAATCCAACATTGAATTGAAAAGGAAATAATTATAAATTGTATCAAAGATGATACAATTATCTGCATAGACCATCAAAGAGAATTTATAATCAAATTATTATTGTGAATAAGGGCTCTGCTATGTTGGTGGATGTGGGATCAATATATAAAATGTAACTTCATTTCTACACCTTTGGAATAGTAAACAAGAAGCATAATAAAAAGAGCCAACCAAAGATGCCAGAACTATATATAAAAGTGTGGTAGAAAGACATTAGGGAATAAATAAGTGGATGGTTATCCCTTATTAATGGATAAGGGTGAACTCTTAAGTAATCTATAGATTTAAATTATAATGAAAGCAAAGAACCAAAAATAGCTAACTTCTAAATATAAAGAGGCCTATAAAGAATCTTAATTAAGTATTTAATATACATGCAGGTGGCATCAGCAGCCTCAACCATTTCTGGAATTTTGATCTTTCCCAGAGAGGCAGAGCACATCCTTGGGGAAAATGGATTCTGTAACAAATGCTGTGGTGCTGTCAGACACCCACCTGAAATTCTGTCCTTTCCTGATACCATTCGTAAAAATCAACTTCAGTAAGATTAAAACTTAGAGAAGGAAGACTTTAAAGTTTGGAAGAAAAAGAGGCTATTTATAAAATTGAGCAAAGGATAGATTTTATAATACCGAAAGTATCAACCGAAAAGAAATATAGCTACATTAAAATTTAGAACGTCTATTTATCAAAGGAAAACATACAAAAGTCAGAAGAGAAGTCATGAGTTAAACCTTCATTCTTGATATGCAGTATTTTATAAATAACACAGGGACAAAAGTTGGTATAAAGGGTGTAAATGAGTACATCATTTATTTAGACATTAATAGATGAGGGTGGAGTGTCCCTGAGAAATGTGAGAATAGAGCTATGCCCCAAGTCACAGATGGAGTTTGGAAGAAATTTTGGAACTAGTACAAAGCAAAAGACAGAAAAGAAAAGGAGGAAAGCAGAAAAATATAAAACCATGAGAAACGCATGGAAAGAGACAATTGTGTCTTGAAATGTCATACACACACTTGAGCAGCAGGCCTCCGCTAAGTGGATGTTGGGTAAACAAATGGGACTGATCTTCATCCTCCAAATCATTTTAAATTGCAGCCATCTCCTGTCAGTATATACATCTATTTTTCAGTAATTTAAATTGCTTTTATATTTTAGAAATGTATTTTGATTTTCTAGAGTTCTCTTTTAGGCTTCATGAGGCCCTCCGAGAATGGAACACTTAAAATCTCTTTAAATGATATTTTCTTTGATAAGAGTGGGCAAGGCCTTTGGGGATGCTATGGAAACCCTAAATCATTTGTCTTCAAGGGCAGTTAAGCATTTCCTGTGACTGCTGAGGCAGCCTGAGTTTAGTTTTCCAGAGTGTTAGAAAAAAACAGCAGTTGTATGTATTCCAAGGGGAGTGTGGCGCCCAGCATTGCAGAGGACTTGATAAATTCTTGATCCTTTGCTCACACTGAAGGTGAGGACTCATTAGTCTGTCTCTCTGCCTTAAGATCCTCTTAAAAATCACCTTGCTGCCTCATCATACCATACAACTCCACTTGAACTCAATACATTTCCATTTAAATTGCTCTGCTCCACATTGTGTCCATCCTGTCCTTGCTGCAACTGTGGAAGTGGTAACAACATTGGTGAACTCTATTTGTTACCCATGTTAGCCTGTCCTACAAACACAGCCAATAAGCTGTTATTGGACAGCCATTACATTCTTGACAGGGACTGTGTTGTAAATCAAATGCAATGTGACTTGAAAATTAAACCATTCCAGTAGTACTTTAAATCATTAAAAAGTGCTCATTTTAGCCTGATGCAGTCTGACTATTCTTTGAAGGAACTTCATTTGGGACTACAAAGGCTTTGAATTTTATTTTGCTCCTTGTGGTAATTTTTGTTTTCTTTCTCTTTCAGGGTATATGAGAAATATTAATTTCTACCTGGTCTTCATCAACTGACCTGGAAAAAACCTCCTGAGATGCTTTTCCTTAATGTAATTTTGTTCAGCCTCACTGTTTTTTACCTTAGCTTCAACTGCCTACCCACTCAACTGAGCAGTTAGGGATGGTCAATTTCTCTGTCATTAGTTATGCATGTTTGCAGGCTCTGATTACTAAACTCATTTAATCTCTACTGCCTGAAAAATGTTACATTATTTTTATAATTGGTTTTGCCTCTTATTAGAATCATTAGAACAATGTTAATAAGATAGAAAAAGATGGAATCACTTGATAGTTTCAGGTTAGCGAGAATGCTGGGCGCTACAGGCTTCTTTATATAAGCAACTATTTCTAAGCTAATTCTCAGATCAGATTTGGGGAAGCTTTGGGGTCTTTTAGGTTTTTATCCCTACTTTCTTAATCTAGGCAACAAATATAACCAAAAGAAAAGTATTGTATACTCTATTATATGTGCTGCCGAAGCGAGCACAAGAAAAGTATTGTATACTCTATTAAAATTATAAATAAATTTTGAACTGCTATATAAATGGGCTGTTTTTATTTTTGGTGAAAAGCTCTTAGGTTTTTTTCTCTTCAGGAGTCTTATTTTAATATTTCTTTTTACATTCTATATAGATCAAATATAGTAAAATAATCACTGGTGAATCTTGGATCGTTGGTCTTTGTATTTATTGATATGGTCCCCTTGCTTTTCAGAGTGGGACAAATTATTTATAAAAATCAACCAGACACAAATGTAGACATTATATGTGGTTTGTAGGTGTATTGAAAACTTTTCTTTGTTTGATGCAACTTATTTCCCATTGCCAATTCAATAGGCTTTCCTGTTCAACTTCTGCGAGCTTGAACCAGGAATCACAATTCAGTTCCTGGGCCCCCTCCTTCCCTGTTGTATAGGGAAAGGGTCACTGTACATTTAATTTTAGCATAAAATTGAAGAACAAATCATTTATTTTACAGCTGGGCAGCCAACAATTTTCAGCATTAAGAGATCTTCTGTGTTACTAATTGCCCTGTTGAAATTAACTTTCCAAATCTCTTTATTCAAGGGAAATTGGGATTTGAAATTCTTGGGCCAGGACTCATGACTGGGGCAAGTGTGCCCTGCAGGAAGGGCCATGTTGGCTGGGGTGAGAGGGTGGCTGAGAACAGATGGTGTTTAGGCATTTTCTCTGGAATTATAAATGCACATATTCCTCGGTTCCCTGTACTCTGCCAGCTGAAGCTGTGTTAGTGCTGTTGACACTAATATAAAATGTTTGGTCCATTTGAAATCTTTGTTGTTGCCTTATATGGGGAAAACTAAATCCCTCAGCCTGTGTTGGAAACACGGCCAATCTGATTGTAAAAGTGTGGCAGTGGCAGGCATTTTACTTCTGTGGAAAGCAGCCATTGCAGCCCTACACCTGCCAGCCTGGCTACCTCACACTGATGTTTCAGTCTTTCTCTCTAGGCTTTCTGTTCTTCACTTGCTGCACCTTCCAGTGTGTAGCCGAGAGTAGGAGAAAGGGGTGCTTTCTTTCTCTGAAGGCACTCAGAAGTTTTTATTTCTCACACTTTTAGAGGCTGGAAGTCCAAAATCAAGGTGTCTGCAAGATTTGCTATCTGGTGAGAGGCCACGTTCAGGCCGGTAATGTTTTCCTGCTGTGTCCTCACATGGTAGAAGGAGCAAAGGGTATTTGTGGGGACTCTTGTACAAGGACACTAATCCTATCCTTGAGGCTTCTACCCCTGTGACCTAATCACCTTCCAGTGGCCTCATAATGCTGTCACCTTGGGGTATGGATTTCAGTGTATGAATTTTGGAGAGCATAATGGCATAGGGGTTTTGGTAAATGTAGTCAAATTACATTCTCAAAAGGTAGCACCAGTATTTATTACCACCAGATACAACAGTACGTTAGTTCCTTTACCCTACAGCGTAGTAGTGGTGATTTTAAAAATGTTATTAGTATGCTGGGTTAAAAATGTTATTGGAGAAGTTAACCCTTTTTCATTATGTTTACAAGCCATTGTTTATCTTTTAGGGAGAGTCGGGAGGTGAGAAGTGTGTGTAGCAGACATGTAAAAGACCTGTGTTAAGGTTTTATGTTGCCAATATTCTAATTTTATGTATCTTTTAACCTAGTTTTCTTTGATTTGATAATGAAGTTTGAAATATCTGTGCATTTGGATTCATCGTGTTTTTTTCCTTTGTGGTTTCTTCTTGGTATTATGGTGATAGATTTTTTAAATGCCTAGTGCCTTATCCTGACAAAACCAAAAGATGTCCCCTACTGATGGGCCTACTTATACAATACACAGAAAAAGAGTTCTACTTTCTTTTATAGCACAGGCCTGAGCAATCACTGTGTGTGTGTGTATGTGTGTGTGTTTACCCAAGAGAAATATTTCCTGGAGTCCCTAAAAATTCTACTTAGGTTAAGAGAAAACATTGGATTCTTTCTTTTAATTAACTTTATTGGTATATTTTAGGTATACCTTATGATCACATTCATCATTGGGAATTTGTACCTGTACATGATATATCTTGGTTCTTGTTTTTTCCCCATTCCCCTTCCCTCTCTTCCCTCCAACGCTCCCCATGTACAAAAGCTTTGTTTCCATTTTTTCCTTCTTTTCTCATATCCCTCCCCACCTCCCATTTGAACCTTTTCTTTCTATTTCACATTATATATTATACATTTTGGTTCTCATTTCACTTTCAGTTTCTGGTGCAACCACTGTGGAAATCAGTGTGGCGATTCCTCAAAAAACTAGGATTAGAGGTCCCATTTGACCCTGCTGGGTATCTTCCCAAAATAATTAAAAGCATCATACCACAGTGATATATGTGCATCCATGTTTATAGTGGCACAATTTGTAATAGCTAAATCTTGGAAACAACCCAAATGTCCATCAACTGGTGAGGACAAAGAAGATGTTTAAAAAAGAACAGGTTTTTTTTTCTAAAATGGAGTACTACTCAGCCATAAAGAATGATAAACTAGAGACATTTATAGCTAAATGGATGCACATTGAGGCCATCCTCTTCAGTGAAATAAATAGGACACACATGTAAATACTGTATTGTCTCTCTGGATTCTTTAGATAGCTTTTGTTAAACATTATAAGAAGCCCCTACAGGTTTATTTTTACTTTGGAAATTAGGTTGTCATTCAGAAAGTATTTTTAGGCAATTTCATTGTAGTTACAATAAATGTAGACATATTTTCCTCCAAAATAAAAGACTTGGCTTTTATAAATAAGAAAACTTTAAGTTAAATTTTGTAAAAACTTTGACTAATAATTTGTAATTGCCCTTTAGAAAACATAACCATAGAAACAGTACATATATGTTTAATTTTCAATTTCAGGGTATTAAACAGATGGTTTTTGATTAGCTGAACCTATTTACTCCTAGGAAAGGGCATGTTTGGAAGTGTGCTGCTGGAGGAGGTAACAGGAATTATGTTAGAACTATTAATGGGGGAAGAAAATACAATACTATGGATTCTTTGTTTTTTAATTGGATGAACTAGTGCATATAGTAACTAGCTGTGTGCTCATGTGCATGAAGACTGGAGTGATATATAATAAATTTATATGAGGATTAAAAAGTATGCCTTTCAAGTAACCATAAGGGTTGCAGAGAATAAACATAAGCATTTCTTTAAGAAACAGACTCTGCTTTGAAACCTTTTTTTCAAATATTCCATTGTTTTACAGTGCAACTTAGGATCAAAGAGAGATTTTTTTATTTTCCTGCTCACAAAATTATGTGCTCAAAAGTAAGGGATTTTTTAAAAAGGCATATAAAGGCAAGTGGAGAGACACTTTGATTACATTTATTGCCGTGTTATTGTGCCATCTGCTGGAACAGAGCATTCAGAGAGACCCATACTGTGGCAGGCACTTCCCCTAGCCAGCTAATTTATTATGGCCCCTTGGCTTTGTGGCTCAGCTGCAGGGCATGTGTTGGGAGTTCCCATTCTTCTGTGTCCCCAAAGAACCCTGCAGACAGCTGAGCTGCAGGGGTTTTTCAATCAGTCGTCAGAAGGTGACATTTCATTCCTTACAACACATTCTGCAAGTGATCAACACCAGATTTTGAGCTGATTAGAAATTTTGTGTTTTATATTTTAGAAACCATGTTGTGTTAAAACTAGCAGAAATTGTGCTTTAGTATAGAGAGCAGTAGCAGACAGGAGCGGGATATTTGAAATTGAACATTACAAATTAAGAAAAATCAGAAATGAACATTTAAATAAGATATTTATATTCTACTCTGTTTTGAATATGGCAGTATGGAGACACAAAGATAAGTGGTGTGGGTCCTGTCCTTATGAAATAGAGTACTTGAAATAGGCTACATTATGTGACCACAATAGACAATCCCCTCATCTCCCTGGATTACAAATAATTTATTTTACTTAGAGCATAGCAGAAGTCTCTGCTTGCCTTAGTCTTCCAAGGACCTAGGCACTTCTCTTATAGCAAGAGGAAACAGTAGCAGCACCTCACACTGGGCAATTAAATGCTTTCTTCAGGAAATGACACATGCTATTTCTGTTCACATTTCATTGGCCATAAGAGGAAGTCACATGGCTGTCCCTAACATTAGAGGGAGTTGGAAATAAAACCTACACTCTCAGAGGAAGAGATATAGGATATGTGTAAATAGCACTAATGACTGCCCCAAGAAATGCATGGTACAGTTGTAGATGCCAGATACATGAAAGTTTACAGGTACATATAAAGAAGAAACAATAAGGAAGATTTAGTTCAATTCAAAATCTAGTAAGGGACCAATATATACCAGGCACTGTGCCTGGCCTGGAAACTACAGATATTGTATGCGCAAACCAGCCATCAGAAAACTGATTTGTAGGGTGACTCAAGCCTGTAATCTCTGCACTCCGAGAGTCTCAGGCAAGAGGATCCCAAGTTTGAGCCCAGCATGAGTAACTTAGCAACTTAGCAAGACCCCATCTCAAAAGTAAAAAATAAAAAGGCTGGAGA